GCGTTTAATTCTTTCTAAAAGATCCCATCGGAATTCAATAGTCTTCTTCATAAAAGAACCAGTACAAGAAGTATTGAGCATGGATCAATCATTACGAGAAAGCCGAGCATAAAAATTCCAAATAATAATTTCTCTTGAGAGCTCATGATTGGGGCATGAACATAACATTGACTTAAGCCTCCCCAAGCTAGAGCGATACTTTCTCCTTCACAAGGCCAAAAATTATATATATAATTCCGATCACAATGAACTAGATGCATAGGATATTTTTTTGATGAAATTCTAATTTCAACCGATTCCAGTTCCAAGATCCAATATCATCGCATAGCCTATACCATGTCAATGCTTTTCCCATCAAAGATAAAGGGAAAACCTTCTTCTTAGCTTCATCTTCGGGTAAACCTGCAAGCTTAAACAATCCACAAATTTCATCCACATATATCAAGTGCATATCAGGATGTTCGGTTCCATCTCCTGCATAAGGATTAGCTAGTAGTTGTTCTACCATACCCGAAGGACTTTCATATTCAATATTTTCAGTAGGTGCAGTAGGTTGAGGGGCAACTAATTGTGGTTCCGGTCGAGGTGAAGGTACCCCGAACAAACCCCTCAAACGATTGTTTTCCATAGTAACAAGTGACAATAAATTTCAGCATATAGTAATAATGTTTCCTTACCAATTTCCACTTACCAAGAGCGCTTCACTCCCTAGCAACGGCGCCAGAAAATAGCCTTGATGACCCACAAGTATATGGGGTCAACTGTAGCCTTTTCGATAAGTAAGAGTGTTGAACCCAACGAGGAGCAGAAGGAAATGACAAGTGGTTTTCAGCAAGGTAATGTCTACAAGTGCTAAAATTGTAAGTAGCGGAGTAGTTTGATAGCAGGATAATTTGTAATGAGCAAGTAACGATAGTAGTAACAAAAGTTCAGCAAGGTAGCCCAATCCTTTTGAGGCAAAGGACAGGCCAAAACAGTCTCTTATGATAAGCAAAGTGATCTTGAGAGTAGACGGGAATTTCATCTACTCACTTTCATCATGTTGGCTTAATTAGTGTTCGCTACTTTGATAATTTGGTATGTGGGTGGACCGGTGCTTAGGTGCTGTTCTTACTTGAACAAACCTCCTACTTATGATTAAACCTCTCGCAAGCATCCGCAACTACGAGAAAAGTATTAAGAATAAATTCTAACCATAGCATTAAATTTTTGGATCCAATCGGTTCCTTACGGAATAGTGCATAAACTGGGGTTTAAGCTTCTGTCACTCTCGCAACCCATCATCTAATAACTACTCCACAATGCATTCTCTTAGGCCCAAATATGGTGAAGTGCCATGTAGTCGATGTTCACATGACACCACTAAGGAAATCACAACATACATATCATCAAAATATCGAACACATATCAAGTTCACATGATTACTTGCAACATGATTTATCCCGTGACCTCAAGAACAAAAGTAACTACTCACAAATGATAATCATGCTCAAGATCAGAGGGGTATTACATAGCATAAGGGATCTGAACATATAATCTTCCACCAAATAAATCATATAATATGTATTCAACACTACTAGTCACCCACAACCACCAATCTATAGTTCTGGTACAAAGATTGAACACAAGAGATGAACTAGGTTTGAGAGGAGTTGGTGTTGTTGAAGGTGTTGATGAAGATGGCCCTCCCCAAGATGGGAGAGTTATTGGTGATGATGACGACGATGATTTCCCCCTCCGGGAGGGAAGTTCCCCCGGCGGAATCGCTCTACCGGAGGGCAAAAGTGCTCCTGCCCAAGTTTCGCCTCGAGACGGCGGCGCTTCATCCTGAAAATCCTCTCCTTATTTTTTCTAGGTCAAAATGACTTATATACCAGAAGAGGGGCACCGGAGGTGGGCCTGGGTGAGCACAACCCACCAGGGCGCGCCTGGGCTCCCCGGCGCGCCCAGGTGGGTTGTGTCCACCTGGTGGGGCCTCCTCTGATACTTATTGACTCCAAAAGTTCTTATTTATTCCATAAAAAATCCTCGTGAAGTTTCAGCTCATTTGGAGTTGTGCAGAATAGGTAGCCTGACATAGCTTTTTTAGGTCCAGATTTGCAGCTGCCGGATTTCTCCCCCTTTGTGTATATATTGCATATTATGAGGGAAAAGACATTAGAATTACTCCAAAAAGCATTATTATACAATAAAACAACATAAATAACAATAGGGAAACATGATGCAAAATGGACGTATCAATCACCCAGTTACGTTGTGACGTTTAATAGCACATAAGGCATTCCTCCGGTATCTGGGGGCTGTATAATCTCATAGTCAGAGGAATATGTATTTGACATGAAGAAAGCAATAGCAATAAAACTGAACGATCATAATGCTAAGCTAATGGATGGGTCTTGTCCATCACATCATTCTCCTAATGATGTGATCCCGTTCATCAAGAGACAACACATGTCTATGGTTAGGAAACTTAACCATCTTTGATTAACGAGCTAGTCAAGTAGAGGCTTACTAGGGACACAGTGTTTTGTCTATGTATCCACACATGTATCAAGTTTCTGGTTAATACAATTCTAGCATGAATAATAAACATTTATCACGATATAAGGAAATATAAAATAACAACTTTATTATTGCCTCTAAGGCATATTTCCTTCAGTTTTAAGTTCCGGTCAACGCCTACTTCTATTTCCATGTCCACTCTGTATTCGTTCTATGTCTGTTTTCTGGTAGTATTTGTTTCCATATTTATTTCGGGAGTTTTTTGTTACAAATTCCGTTCCATTTTCATCCCTATGTGCAGCTGCCCTGAGCAACCACTGCCAACTCCCGCTTAAGATCCATGTCTCAGCTACCGCCGCCGTCGAAGAAGAAGAAGTGTCGCGGCGTGCGATAGCAGCCGTGGGGCACTTGGGTGATCGGAATTCGCAATCCGGAGACATGGGGGAGGTGTTGGCTTGGCACTTTGCAGCCAATGGGTAGGTGGCTCGCTGTTATGACGTGGCGGCGGTCG